TCTTATTGTCAAACAACAATTATGAACACATTCTGTGTTATTCTTGTATTAAATGGTAATTTATTGCTTAATTCATAGTAAAAAATGATGTTTATTCTCCTTTAATAATAGTGTGCGTAAAACACGGCTTGAATGGCGAATCCAATAATACAAACAATAGTAAATGGCGTCAATTGGCTGAAGACATGTTCAATGGACAGGCGATTATGATAAGCAAAGCCAAAAGTAATATAATAACTGGCGTTAAATCGTATGCCATTATAGAGCCTACAGAAAGAGAGACCAAAGCGGCTGACAAAGCCATGAATTATATTGTCTCTATCGGTACCGACAAACTGTTGGACACGTTTGAAAAACTGGACTACTTTTGCCGGTATTCCCTGTATTTGTTACTTGTATTGTTATTAAAAATATTTTTATAAATAGTGAGCGCAAAGAATTGATACACGAGGCGAACACTTGGATAATTAGGAAATACACGTTTAACATACAAATCCGATTTGTAATGTCTATAATGCTATCGAGAATCCAACGCCAGAATAGTGTGTATTGCGCTGACGATCACTTTAAGCGAAATTACGTTACGTTCGCACAACTTTTAACTCCCATTAATCCATTGCTAACGTCTATTCGGCACAAGTTTGTGGACAGTTTGGTCGCCGTCCAGAATTCACACATCGGTATAACAAAAGTGGGCAAAGTTTGTTGGTATGAAATACATGTTCAAAACTGATATCACACATACTGTAGTCATAATGTAATGATGTTGTGATTATATAATATACTAGTGCCTACTGGCGATACCGAACCGAAACCGAAAACGCTGTCAACTCGACATCTAAAGAGCTCAAAGTGTTTGTCACAGATATGATGGACTCGTATTTTGGCGGAGGAATGGGTTGTCTGTGTTTTGTGTTTTACAAAGACTCCTACTCCTGTTCCGCATATAAACCGGACCCTCCGGTCCCACACTTATACGACTCCATGCTTATGAATATAGTGGATGCTATGGCTAAGATCACAAATGTCGCTTTTAAATAAAGATTAAAAGTAGTTTATTAAAATATTTATAGTTTTGTTAAATTTATTGTTAAATTGGTTGTAATTATCATCTATTTAAATTTATATACTAATTGATGTTAAACACTTAAATATAACATTAAGGTTATGCTTATACCCGAGCACAAAGACGAGCCCTCCCTGTGATAAAAGCACATGTAATTTATATTTATATCGAAATACGAGTCCCACATATCGTTGATAAACAATTTTAAATCATAGGCTGTGTTCAATGTGTCGAGAGTTTCGCGTTTATAGCGCCAGAAAGAGCTAAAATATTAAGATATTTTATAAATTATTTTCATCATTAATGAAAGTATGCATTGATTACCAACAAAATGATCCAATCCTTGAAACGCCAATATTTGATCGTTGAATATCAATGAGATTATCAATGAATGTGTTGCGGATTTGCATTAGCTTTGCATTAAATGGTATTAACTTTTCCATCAAAGAAACATAGTTTCCTTTGAGGTTATTATCACTGCAATAAAAGTTGTTTTTCTTCTCCATTTGTTTCAATATAATTCTGACACTCATTCGTATGAATACATTGAATGTGTATCTCTTATAAACCCATTGAGAGATTTCTTTCATAAAAGTTTTGTGTTCTCTTATAGGAAACAAAAGTCTCAAATCAATATTTAATTACAAAAAGTGATTTATAACAAAAACCTGCAAAAATAATCCATTTTACTCATGGAATCCAATACTTTATTAGATCCGATAGGAAAGGCATAATCCATGGCCTCATCGACTTGATTGGTCTCAAAAGGCGATGGCTGTGAGACAATGAAATATTTGGCCCCATAAACCATATTGTCTTTGATATTCTGCAAATGGTTTAACTGTTTACCGATTGTCTGTTCAGTTAAATTTTTAATATCCGTATATTTTTGAAACAATGATTTACACATTTTCACATTTAAAGCAAAACTCTTTATATCAATATTTGGTATAAATGAATAGTTTATTGAATTCCCAACGTTTACTGAAATTAATATAAAATACAATTATTACTATTTATATTATTGTATAAATACTGTCACAATAATACCTGAGAATAATAAAAGTATAATCAATTCCTTTGAAATCATAGCTAAATATTAAGTATAATTATTTAAATAACTGTATTTATTATTATTACTACCATTTATTACCAGATGTTTACATGATATGTAATTTATTGTATTTTTAACTTATTTATTAATAAGCATAACCTTAATGTTATATTTAAGTGTTTAACATCAATTAGTATATAAATTTAAATAGATGATAATTACAACCAATTTAACAATAAATTTAACAAAACTATAAATATTTTAATAAACTACTTCTAATCTTTATTTAAAAGCAACATTTGTGATCTTAGCCATAGCATCCACTATATTCATAAGCATAGAGTCGTATAAGTGTGGGACCGGAGGGTCCGGTTTATATGCGGAACAGGAATAGGAGTCTTTGTAAAACACAAAACACAGACAACCCATTCCTCCGCCAAAATACGAGTCCATCATATCTGTGACAAACACTTTCAGCTCTTTAGATGTCGAGTTAACAGCGTTCTCGGTTTCGGTTCGGTATCGCCAGTAAGCACTAGTTTATAACATAATCACAACATGACATACGTTAAGACTAGAGTATGTGTGATATCAGTTTTGAACATGTATTTCATACCAACAAACTTTGCCCACTTTTGTTATACCGATGTGCGAATTCTGGACGGCGACCAAACTGTCCACAAACTTGTGCCGAATAGACGTTAGCAATGGATTAATAGGTGTTAAAAATTGTGCGAACGTAACGTAATTTCGCTTAAAGTGATCGTCAGCGCAATACACACTGTTCTGGCGTTGGATTCTCGATAGCATTATAGACATTACAAATCGGATTTGTATGTTAAACGTGTATTTCCTGATTATCCAAGTGTTCGCCTCGTGTATCAACTCTTTGCGCTCACTATTTATAAAAATATTTTTAATTACAATACAAGTAACAAATACAGGGAATACCGGCAAAAGTAGTCCAGTTTTTCAAACGTGTCCAACAGTTTGTCGGTACCGATAGAGACAATATAATTCATGGCTTCGTCGGCCGCTTTGGTCTCTCTTTCTGTGGGCTCTATAATGGCATACGATTTAACGCCAGTTATTATATTACTTTTGGCTTTGCTTATCATAATCGCCTGTCCATTGAACATGTCTTCAGCCAATTGACGCCATTTACTATGGTTTGTATTATTGGATTCGCCATTCAAACCGTGTTTTACGCACACTATTATTAAAGGAGAATAAACATCATTTTTTACTATGAATTAAGCAATAAATTACCATTTAATACAAGAATAACACAGAATGTGTTCATAATTGTTGTTTGACAATAAGAATGAGGACCGTGTGTTACAAACATTTAAATAATTATAAATTACTCAAATAAATACAGAATTTTATTTTTTAAATCATGTAAATAAATGGTAGATTTATGTTAGAATTATTTACTCGATATTTATTGATATAATAAAAATTCTAATTAAATAAGTAAATACTGATATTACACTATACAGTATATTATTTTTAATATTATATAGCACCTAAATTACAAAATGTTGGAAAATATATAATTCAAATAATTTATTTTGTATTTAACATTACAACTTTTATTTACAGTACTGTCTGTTGCAAAAAATTAACTTTTTATTTTGATTTTAAATCTAATAGATTTTAAACCAAAAGCAACTATTAAAATCTATGAACACATTTAGTCTATTATAAATCAATTCATGTATGAAAAATAATTAAGTAAAACATGATAAAAAATTAATTTATTTATTTGGAAACATAATTCGTCATAATCATTTTTATATTATCAATAGTTGTAAAAGGTGTTAAATATAATAAATCCATTAGTGGATCAGTAGTTCAAACTAGTTATTTTTCCAAAAGTCAAGATCATATTGAGAAGAATGGATTGGTATTCCGGTTTAATGCCGTGAGCGGCGTCTAGAGGTATGTCTTTCGCACAGTAAGAGGAGCCGTACGAGTAAATGGGACAAACGTATTTGGCACCCGCGCCGAAGTACGTCACCGTCATATCCAATGCAAACTGCAGTTCTGGTTGTGTCTTCACCAATTCGGCTAACTTATCGTAATATCGCCAAAACGCGCTTCAATGCAATTATTAAAACAATTATATTCGCTATTATTAGTTATTAGATAACAAACATTATGGTCACTCATACCAACAAATTGCACCCGTTGTTTTAATGGAGAAGCTTTTTCTTTGCTGTACGACAGCCGTATTGACCAATTCGTCGTAACATCCCATCAATTTCATGTTGGTGTCCTTAACTCTTTTCAGCTTTTCGAGGTATTCCTTTTTATTGTCATCATCACTGCAATAGCCCACATTCTTATCGTTTAGTTTGACAATAACTAAACTGATGGCCACTTTCACTATCATGTTGTACTTATACTTGCGGCCCACAAAACTCTTTAATAAGTTGAAATTGTTTGCAAGATTTCTATAGAGTTACAACACATATAAGTTATTATTAAATAATAATATTAAATAGTAATTTTAAGGTTAATAGATTTAATGGATAAAGTCTATAGATATTGTAATTAGATTATTTATATTAAAAATTTGTTTTAAATATATCACATCGATGTTTCATTGATTGGTAATTATGTGCTGATTAAAAATAAATATTAATACCTCGATGTAAATTAAACTAATTTATTTTACACCATGTATGCCATGTATGTCACTCACAGTTACTCACCCGCAGTATTCATCCATTGAGTCGATATAATGTTCTGGGGGTCCGCCGAAAGGGAACATCTGAGACAAGGCTTTGTCCAACTCGAGGGTCTCCTCTTCGGTCACATTGCCGGTGCTCTTGATGTCTATGTTGTTGAACATGTTTTCAACCATCTGATTATACACTGAATACTGGTTGTATTTGGATCTCCATGATTCGAGAACACTCTTCTTCTCAGTCGGTTTCACAGTGGTTGTGGTTTTTACAGTGGTCTTCACAGTAGCCTTCACAGTGGGTTTCACAGTAGCCTTCACAGTAGGCTTTACAGTAGCTTTCACAGTGGGCTTCACAGTAGCCTTCACAGTGGTCTTCTCAGTAGCCGTTACAGTGGTCTCCTCATCACTGGCCGTCACAGTGGTCTCCTCAGTAGCCGTTACAGTGGTCTCATCATCACTGGCCGATGCATACACTGGATTGCAATGATTATACAAATTTAGTGCATTTATCACAACAAGCATGGAAGAATCAAATTAATACACTCACCAAGTATTACCACAATAATCAAATATCTCAATATTTTCTCCATTATTATTGTATAATATACGAGTAGAAGCACCAGATGTTACAATGACTTTCAGGCATATAAATATATAAGTAAAATAATAGGCAATATTAATTAAATTAAATATTATTTTATTAAAATTTTAATAAATGATGTTCTCCTAAATCTACTCTATTATCTTATTAAACAAACTAGTTTTCATTGAAATATATAAAATACTAAATAAATCATGCAATTATATAATGGTTAAATAAATTGTTAAAAATATACCCTTATGATATATGAAAGTTGCACATAATATTAATTAAACTATATTAAAACTTTCCAACCATTTCACTTCAAAGTGTTTATAACCCCTCCTTAAACACATGCATTCAAATTATCAGTTCTTTCATTGACTAAATTGATATAATTTTTAAATTTATAATAATTATTCTATAATCATCTTATAATTTTAAAGTGTTTTATCTAATTTATTTTTTAAATTTATTTAAAAACAATTTTAATAGGGAATTATTTGTGTATTTTTCAATACAAATCATTCATGATGTTTATAGTATTAACAATAATTTCGAGTTTTCTATATGTCCTAGATCAAATACAGTATATAACACAGTTAATCAACCGCTCGGACTGTTTTTGATATTTAATTTTTAATAGAATTAAGTAATAGATTTAAAATAAATTCAGTATGGTAAAACAATATTTATCTGACTTCAATTTTATGTAATTACGTAATTTTAATATCAACTAGTTTAACAATGGCAAACATATTAAGCCACAGATGTTGAAATCATAATCATTTGTATATTATCAATAGTGATAGAAAATGTTAAATATAATGAATCCATTAGTGGATGATTAGTTCAAACTAGTTATTCTGCCAAAAGTCAAGATCATATTGAGAAGAATGGAGTCGTATTGATGCTTAATGTGTGCGGGCGCTGCTTTCTCAGCCAGTGTCGCACAGAACGACGAGCCGTACGAGTAAATGGGACAAACGTATTTGGCACCCGCCCCGAAGTACGTCACCGTCATATCCAATGCAAACTTCAGGTCTGGTTGTGTCGCCACCGCTTCGGCCAATTTGTCGTAATATCGCCAAAACGCGCTTCAATGCAATTATCAAAACAATTATATTCGCTATTATTAGTTATTAGATAACAAACATTATGGTCACTCATACCAACAAATTGCACCCGTTTTTCTAATGGAGAAGCTATCCTTTTGCTGTAAAACAGCCGTAGAGACCAATTCATCGTAAAATGTAGTCAAATGTTTGTTTATTTCCTTAACTTTTTGCAAATTTTTGATATATTCTTCTTGATTTTCAACAGAACTGCAATAGCCCACATTCTTATCGTTTAGTTTGACAATAACTAAACTGATGGCCACTTTTATAATCATGTTGTACTTATACTTGCGGCCCACAAAACTCTTTAATAAGTTGAAATTGTCTGTAAGTTTTCTATAGAGTTACAACACATATAAGTTGTTATTAAATATAATATAAAATTGTGATTTTATGGTTAATAAAAATTAAATCTATAGATATTGTAGTTAGATCATTAATATTTTAAAATTTGTATTAAATATATCACATCGATGTTTATTGATTGGTAATTAATAAGCGTCGGCAGAAATCGGGATAAAATATTTTAATTGTTAAATATTTTGAAAAATGCAAGACTAGTGTTTTATAAATACCTAACAATTTAACATGATTTTTAAATTCCCGAATAAAATAAACTAAATATTTTACATTTGATATTATACAAATACATACAAAATATTTTAAATACCAATTTTAACTATAAATTTAACTACTTTTTAAACAATTTTCTATAAAAATATTTCTACAACAATTTTTAATACAAATTTTTAAATATAAATGATCAATATTAATACCTTGATGTAAATTAAACTAGTTTATTTTACACCATGTATGTCACTCACAGTTACTCACCCGCAGTATTCATCCATTGAGTTGATATAATGTTCTGCGGGTCCGCCGAAGGGAAACATCTGAGACAAGGCTTTGTCCAACTCGAGGGTCTCCTCTTCGGTCACATTGTCGTTGCTGTTGATGATGTTGCTGAACATGGATTCAACCATCTTATTATACACTGAATAACTTTGGTATTTGGATTTCAATGATTCGTAAACACTCTTCTTCTCAGCCGGTTTCACAGTAGCCGTCACAGTAGTCTTCTCATCACTGGCCGATGCATACACTGGATTGCAATGATTATACAAATTTAGTGCATTTATCACAACAAGCATGGAAGAATCAAATTAATACACTCACCAAGTATTACCACAATAATCAAATATCTCAACATTTTCTCCATTATTATTGTATAATATACGAGTAGAAGCACCAGATGTTACAATAACTTTCAGGCATATAAATATATAAGTAATATAATAAACAATATTAATTTAATTAAATTTTATTTTATTAAAACTTGAATTAAATAATGTTCTCCTAAATCTACTCTATTATCTTATTAAACAAACTAGTTTTCATTGAAATATATAAAATACTAAATAAGTTATGCAATTATATAATGGTTAAATAAATTGTTAAAAATATACCCTTATGATATATGAAAGTCGCACATAATTGTTATTAAATTATATTAAAACTTTCCAACCATTTCACTTCAAAGTGTTTATAACTAGGGTGGCCAACTGTCCTCATTTTTGAGGACAATCCTCATTTTGGAGTCTCTTGGCTACTGTCTTCAGAAGGGGTTAATGAGGACTATTCATTGTTCTCAATTTTCATATTGATAAACTAACACTTAAATAACGTTACATTGTAACAAAAATTGTATGAGATTGTACTGAAAGATCGAGTTTATGCTAAAGTATTTTATACAACATGCATTACAAAGAGAATACTATTATAGAATATTGCAATTAATTAAACTCGCTTGTTAAAATAAATAAAATTTAATAAATGCTATTAAACCAACACCAAAATATAACTGTGAATGCTAATTATTCATATTAGCTTATTTAACAGCGGCAAATAAGTAAATTTGTTAATAAAATTATGTCCTCAATTTTGTCCTCTATAATTGCAAAAAATGTCCTTTTTATCCTCAAAATATTTTATAAAATTCTCATTTTCCGAGTTGGGAGTTGGTCACCCTATTTATAACCCCTCCTTAAACACATGCATTCAAATTATTGGTTCTTTCATTGACTAAATTGATATTATTTTTAAATTTATAATAATTATTTGATAATCATTTTATAATTTTAAAATGTTTAATGTAATTTATTGTTTTAATTTATTTTAAAACAGTTTTAATAAGTAATTATTTGTGTATTTTTCAATACAAATCATTTATGCTTTTTACAAGTAAGTATTAGCAATAATTTTGAGCTATCTATATTTCCTAGATCAAAAACAGTATATAACGCATTATAAAATTAAATTTTTAACAGAATTAAGTAATAAATTTAAAATAAAGTGAAACGATATTTATCTGAGTTAAATATCATGTAATTTTAATATCAACTGGTTTAAAAATGGCAAACATATTAAGCCACAGATGTCTAAATCTATTTTGACACTTACTTAGTTGCTTATTAGTTGTAATCGACCGCTAATGTACTGTAGTAATTCTTGTTACCATTTTTAAATAAATACTAATTTGTCGTTCAATTTATTTGTGATTTTTAAAAGAAATATGTGTCTTTACAAAAAAATTAATAGATTAATCAATGAATTAATACACTTTCAATACATTATAAAATTTTCATTAACGTCTCACCCGATCCACACTTGAAATCAATTGAAGAATTTCTGATTAAGTTTTCATACAGTAGTGCTAATCAATGGAGAGTCGAATGATAATGAATTATTAATGATAAGGCTTTTGAAGTTTGCAATGATTTTATGCCTTAATTTTGAGATTTATTCTCAATTAATTGTATTTTAATTAATTAATGGTTTAATTTGTGCCAAACCTTTATAAATTAAATTAAAATATTTTAATGTTTTATATTTTTTATTGGTTTTAAAGTTTATCGGTTAAAAAGTTTATATAAGGATCGACGGATGTGTGTCTTGTGGTTTTTGAAGTCATACAACCGGTCTTTGAATCCAATGACCAAAATGTTGGTCGGCGTCCGAACCAAATCCAATGGCTTAGCCCCACCGGGAGGCCGAGGGGGCCCACTGACCCGCCCGCCACCACAAACAGCACACACGCCCTCTCAGACCGGGTGGACTGTCCCGACTCCCAGCACCGCATGACCAGTGATGACGTGGACTATGCGGACTCCCAACACCCCTGTCCACCATATGGTGAACAGTCGGACTGTCCGACACTCCCAACAC